GGCTTTACTCTAATTTACATAGATTTATGTATAAAAAGTTTTAACCAATGACGGTGGTTTTTCGGATCAAATAGTAATAATAAAAATGTGGTAAATGTTTTGAATGTAGTCAGTAACGATGATTATAATGATAACAAAATAATAATGATAAGGTTTATGCACATGGTGATAAGAACAACGAAGGTAGTAGTATGTATGTGTATATGTAGACAATTCATTAAATAAATAATTAGGTCAAATCTTAAAAGTTACGTAATACGAAGGGTGAAGTGGACAGATAATCATAAAAGTACGAAGGAGATGGAAAATAAGAAAGGGTGAGAAGGTTTTGAATAGAATTCACCTAGGCCAAGGGAGAGACAAAGGTAGAACAAACTTCTTTTGTACGCAAAGACTAGGATTGTTCTCTCGAATTCCTATGTGTAAAATATGGGTTCGAATTCCGTTCGAAAGGTGGTTCGATGGAATGCGATAGATAACTTTGAAGGCATTATTTTTGTCCACTTGGTGACCGCTATCAATCAAATGAGCCAAGATAGAACTTCTTATAGATTTTATTTGACCTTTTCCGAACCATGAAGGAAGATGTTCATTAATGCGTTTGTTAAGCTGTCTAGTTGTTCACCCTATATAGCTCTCTCCGCAGCAGCAGCTAAATTTCTAGATACACATGGAAGTGGCACAGCTAGGTAGCTTGTCTTTCGCTTGTGCAATCATAATTGGTCAGCTGGAAAATGACAAACAAAGGGTGGCGGCAGTATAAGTCCGTTTTATCGCTCTCGATAATCTCAGATGTAAGACTTCGCTTGCAATTTCATGAATAGTTATTTCTTTTCAACTGTTGTCAATTTCTCTTTATTGTACCTGGTGTTCATGTGTCTCCTTACAAATCTACTAGGATAACCCATTTGGACCAGCGTATTTTGGATATATCCTAGCTCATTTTCTAGGGAGTCATCTGTACAAATACGTCTTGCTCTATTCGTAAGGCATCTGACCAAATTGGTTTTATATCGGATTGGTACAAAACTGAGGAAATGTGTATATTGTCCTACAGATGTAGGCTTTCTATAGACATCTCTCTTGAGTGAACCATCCTCTCTTCTGCTCAATTTGACGTCAAGGAAATATAGTCTACCATCATGTTCTTCTTCACAAGTGAAGATGGGCGATGGATGTGCATCATTAAACTTTTTTAACATTTCATTCTTGTCAGTTTTCACATCAAGAATAATAAACGTATCATCAACATAACGACAATAAGAATCAGTTTTATCGATTACTTGTTTCAACGGACCATTTCCAAGCTTAGCAAGAAAGACATCTGCCAAAATTGGCCCCAATGGAGAACCCATAGCAATACCGTCGATTTGCCTGTAGTAAAGGCTGTTGAATATGAAATGTACATTCATAGTACATCTTAAAAGCAACTCTTTCAGACTAATATCTGGAATTCCGATGTCGAACTGTTTCTCTAGTATCTGTTGGCATATGAATTCCACAGTCTCCATAAGTGGTACATGGGTGAACAGTGATGCTGCATCTAAGGATAGCAGCATTTGCTTCCCATTTACTTAGATATCATCTACGTGAACAATGAGTTTAAAAATGTCTTTAACACTATGATTTACTACCATCTTGTGTAACGGTTTTTATACATAAATCTATGTAAATTAGAGTAAAGCCTGAAGAAGATCTTCTAATTGAAAACAGCAATATTGTTCGCTTATATGTCTTTCTTGTTCTAACTGAAGAAACCACCAAACCAGATACACCAAAAGAAAAAAATTAAGATAATAACACATCGAGTTCATTTGATTGATGTCAGGGAATAATATGGAACATGATAACCAAATAATGCCGCTTGTAACAACAGAAGACAAGAGACTTATTATTATTGTTCCCTTGGGTTCCTAGTAGAACATAGGGCTTCAACTGCACGTCTCCACTTGTTTCTGTCTTCTGCTGTACTTTTCACTTGCATCCATGTTAGTCCACACTGTTTCAACTCTTCTTCACACGATCTCCTCCATGTCACCCTTGGACGTCCCACTCGCCGCCGCTTCCCTTTCGGGTTCCATTCGAGTGATGGCCTGACGCGCGATGTCACCCAGTGGCCTCCTCAGCGAGTGTCCAATCCATCTCCACTTTCTCCTGCATATTTGTTGAGCGATTGGTTCTTGTTTTGTTTGTTCCCACAGTTTCTTGTTGGTTCTTGTTCTTTCCGGCCATCTGATCTTCAGTATAGAGCCAGCGAAGACAGCTGTTGATAAAGGTCTGCAACAGGCTGTTGGAAATATTCTTGGTGACCCGCCAAGTTTCTGATCCATATAGAAGAACTGACTGACTTGACGTTTGTATTGAAAATCCGAATCATTTTGTTGTTGATGCAGGCTGAGTGACGAAGATTTCCAGATTGGTTTCAGGTTGATGAATGTGTTTCTCGCCTTCCCGATTCTCTATTTGACATCCTCGTCCGTCCGTTCCTCCTGTAGTTGAGACAATGCTCCCTAGATAAGTGAAAGAAGTAACCTCTTTCAAATCCCTCCCGTTGATGGTGATTGGCGCTGGATGTTGCTGCTGCTGCTGTTGTTGTTGGTTGGTTATTTTCATAACCTCCGTCTTGTCTATGTTCACCTGGAGTCCTGTCTTTTCTGCCAGCCTCTTCGACCAGTTTGTCGGTTTTCGCTTGTAAGTCTTCGATTTTGTGTGACATCAAACATAAATCATCCGCAAAATCCAGGTCTTCTAGGTTCTTCACGTCGGTCCAAGAGACTTCTTAACAGACTTTTCTTTCAATTTAAGGGAGAAACCACACTATATACTTATACATTTCTAGTCATACTTAAGGTTGGCTAGGTCAGTGGATAGATAATAAACTCGTCTAATTGGTTGTCGGTTTTCCAAAAGTTAAACCTTGCGAGAGACAAGACTTCTAAATCCGTCATATCAAGAACCACACTAGAAAGAGGTTTCGCGTGCATTTCGGATTGTGAGGGCGATTGTTACTTCCTGGCTGCCCACACCGTGGAAGTTGGTTGCGTGACCGCAGAGCCCAGGGGACAACTGCTTGAGGCCGGTCACACACGGCCTGCTTTTATTTGTTCTTTTTCATTTGGTGTGTCTCAGTAGCACATTTATCACTTCTGCCCTATGACATGGCAGCAGGAAGCGCGGTCATTGTTAATCCGGGCCCCGACCGATCCGGCATGATATTTTGTGATTTACTTCCAGTCATAGCATTGGGTTGGGTAACTGCTTTTTGTCTAACCGCTATCCAAACAACCTTTCTGGCATGGTAGGACCTCAAGCGACATAAGTCTCAGCCAGTATAGCTTGTTGGGTCATTGCGGTGTTCAAGCCCGACCACCACGTCAAGGTAGCAGCTTTCGGTCGGGCATTTCACACAGTGATGCACCCATTGACTGGGTATTGGTTTTCAGGAGAACCAAACACACCCATCCTTGCCTCTTGCGAGACGAGAACGGCATGCAGGATCATCCTGTGGCGCAACCACTCGAGAGCCTTCTCCCTCCGTGGACCACACTAGAAAAATTGTAGATATGCCCCCCGCTCTGGATTTTTGTGTTTTGCCTATTTAAAATTGCTACATTATCCCAATTAAATTGGTGTTCATAAGTATATCAACATGCACACTGATATGAAAGAATACATATCATGCCTTCTTTACAACTAATTTATGTTTTTTTTTTTATTCGGACTCGAAGAGGACAGCCGATGTAGTGTGTTTGTCACTGAAGATGTTGCCTAGAAGCACAACGAAAAAGACTAAATCAAAATCCACACCTTTGTTTCAATTTCTTAGTGAGATATATTTCCTTAAACACTATATATATATGCGATTGTACACCTTAATAAATTTGTTGAAAAGAGTCTCTTCGCGGAATATTTGGTTCTTTGTGTTACAATGAGAATTACTAAATTATCAAATAGCTTGTCAAATCCCCAAGAAATGAAAAAAATACACGATAATGATCCGATTAAATATCGCTGGAAAATACACATTAGATCAGGAGAAATATAAAAAGACGGTTACAGCGAAGAAAATCTTCTTTCCCACGAAGTCATCAACTCAGCTGTAACATTCATGTAACCTCTAGTGAACTGACGACATTCAGCCTCATTTGAAAATCTCTTCAAAGTCATACACAGGATTCGACCAAACTTGTCAAAGGGAGTGAGATCAAAGTATTTGGGCATAGCTGAGGGAGGCGCGTTAGAGATCGAAAACTTTAAGGCCACACTGTGTATCCGCAAGAAATGCATCCAACCGTTTTCCCTACTATGGCCATTGTAAAAAGTCAGTCCTCTCAATAGTGATTATCCTCTTATCTTTGTTATCCGATCTTCGTTGCTTTTAGCTCCTATCTTGTTGACTTACAATAATGCAGATGATATAATCCTTCTAGGCGAAGACACTGACGAAATGCAGAGTCTTCTCAACGCCTTGAGCAGCAATCTTCGAAATTTTGGCATACAATTCGCTCCCCTTGTCAAATTTAAGATGATGCTACAGGACTGCACTACATTTTCTTTTTACTTTCTTCTCTTGCTTTGTGTGCTACATGGGGTGTGACGACTCGAACTGCTGCACATCTGTGCAAAGTGCTACGTTGAAACCAGTCAGTCAGTCAATCGTCTTCTGCATTACACTACGCTTTTTATCCGAACTTGCTGCCTATGTTGTTATTATTACTACCTTTTGAATCCCTAACTGCACAAAGAAAAAGGTCAACTTCCTCAGTAATTATAACCCTACTCTACTGTAGGTTTTGTTTATCCGATCTTCCTATTTATTGTATTTTGTACTTTTATTAATTTGACCCTTAACTGGACGAAAATAGTACTGGAACTTTCTCACCCATATGTCATAAATACACCAATGTGCAGCCAAGTTGGTGATGATGACCTCGTTGAAAAGAAAACTTTCTCCACTATAACCGTCTTTTCTAAAACACATTCTCATTTGATTTACTCACCTCTTTAATGCCATCTAACACTACAATTAAACGATAACGTTGTTGCAGTAATGGCCAAACAGAACTAGCCATTAGAGCTGTATTCGCAAAACTGAACACGACCATATCCGCGTCAGGCAGAGTTTGTACATCTTCACGTTTACCGAAACGAAAACACTTGAACCAAACAGATACTTGATATTCTGTTGACCATTGACGATCAAATGCTGCTAGATAACTAGCCCAACCAGCACATTGATCCATAGCATAATAGACAAGACGTTGAGTAAAACCACGACAACGTGCATAGGCTAAATATGCAGCTATATCTGGTCCAGGTCCAACGCCTATACTGATGATACGACTAACATGATGTCGTAGATAGGTTTCTACATCGGGATTCTCGGGGATAATTCGATAAACTAAAGCCTTTTAATTAAAATAGAGTTAAATACATGTAAAAAATTATATAATTTAAAACGAAAAGCATGTGTACACAATAGCGATAAGTTACGAGGACATACTCACTGTCAAATCAATATGCATCACTAGGAGATATTAACAATCTGTTTTTAAGTAGGAGGATGACACCTACTATGAGTACACATATGTGCGGCAGTTCAAGTCGCCACACTCCCCCCATGTAGCACACAAACCAAGAGAAGAAAGTAGAAGAAATGCATAATATAGACAGTAAACAGAGGTGTGAGACAAAGGAATAGTAATAACGAAGAACAAAACAGTCTAATTGAAAATCATGAGTCACAAGGAGTGGATGCATCTGCTCCATTGAGAACGATGAGTTTGAGCCATGTCACCAACTGTTTCCAACCATTGGTTTCTACCGTTCCGAGGACCCAAACCAGTCAGGAAGTCTACATCTTCCTACGTGGCTGGATTAAACTAACTGTTGTGGATTTCATTGACTGGTGTCATGTTTTCGTTTGACCGCCGCTAGCTCTTTTCCAGCCTGACCCTATATCAGCTAACATTGCCCATTGTCGAGGAAGGCGATGACTAGGCATACGTAACACATGTCCTAACCATCTCAGTCGATGTAATTTCACAGTCTCGTCGACTGATTTCCCCGCCTTACCTAGTATTCGACTGAGGCCTAACCTCAATATTGCTCACCTTATTATACCACTTCACACGGGAGATAGAACACAGGCACCTATGATCGAAGAAAGCTAATCTTCTCATGTCTTCTGCTCTCAGTGGCCAGGTCTCACAGCCAGCCATAAAGGAGGACGGAGCGGACTGATAAGCAGTACACAAGCCCTTTGGTCGATAGTCGGATATCGCGTCTACGCCAGAGACGGCGTAAACTGGCTTATGCAAAACTAGCCCTCTGTATTCGTGCTGATATTTCGTCGGAGATCAACCCGTTGGCGTTGGTTGATGGTACTTCCGAAGTAAGTGAAGCGGTCAACGTGCTCTACCACTTCACTTCCTATTTCTAATCTAGGGGTCGGTGAAGTGCAATCCTGCAACATATTCATACATTTTACAGGAGTGAATCGCATGCCAAACATACGAAGATTGTTGCTCAAGTTGTTCAGTAGACTCTGCATTTTGTCAGATGTGTCGCACTGGCCTAAGTGCTCAACTGTCAGTCAACATGTCCTGGGTTCGAGTCCCACCCCACTTCCACCTGGGCAAATAGGTGATATCATTAGCCCCACACACACACACAAAAGGCGTGGCTTATTGCCTGGTACTGGATAACTGAGATCCAACTAACTCCATAAGTGATAACTCTGGTAGGATTAATCTTGTGACTATGTATTAGCGAACACCATATTTCACACTTCAATTAAACAAATCTTTAATTGTACCCGTCACTGCACAGACGGAAAAATGATAAATAGGCACCCCCCCCCTATCTGGCCAATCGCTTCTTACTCTCGTATAGCCTTCTAGTCTTACAGTACATACACGACTGTTAATAGGGATCCAATCGAATAATGCAACTTCAGCTCTAGCACCGACACCTGAATAAGCGCAGACAGTACACACCACTTGGACTTTCATATGGAGAAGATACTCGAAGCACTTGACTGGAATCTTGAGTCTGCATCTCCGAAATGCCGCAGACATCGACAGAGAAATATTCCTAATGTTCTGGTCATACTTACCTGCTGTTCAGTTTGCATCATTGTGATAAGCTTGAACGCGACACGCGGTTTCAAGATATTCGTGTTAGACATCGAACTGGAGATCAGGTCAAAACGATACAGATAAGTTGAGATTTTAAACAAAACAAAGGTGAAAGGTTGATGAAAGTGAAGATATCAAAGGTATTAAAGCCAGTAAAAATAAAAAACACAAAGATCTATGTATAAAAATAAGATCAAAAAGCAACATGTTGCTGAAAGTATGACTGTAGTCTGTAAGAGTGAGTGCACAATTATAATCTCTCATGAAATTATGGTCTCATAGTTTCTGCGAGGGCTTGGAATCCTGCCTGGGCACCCAGACCAAAACAGGTGGTCCTTACAAGAGACCACCAACTCAGTCTTTGACTTAAAAATCAGCATCAGGAGCTGCATTATTATGGTTGCCGGTGGCTAAAACAGGTTCATACAACATTTGATTCGTTCTGATTCTGGAGCCCATGTACACTATAGGTATGGAATCAGGGTTTTTCAGCTTCCCTAAGTAGATCAGCATCTCCATCAGTCCGGTTGTAAACAAAAGACGTTCGCATTCGCCCATTTCCTCTTGTGAGGAACACCACCGATGCGTAAAGGCAGTGAATAGGATTTACTTGACATAGGGGATATAAACGCGTGATGACATGCAAGCACTCCAAGAGGAGGACCAAAGTCTATCCACCCTGAGATCATTGTTGGGCGAAAGTGACATCTATACAACTAGATCATTAGCCAGGATGACTACACTACACTGTCAAACAAGCAGTATCAGCATAGAATACAGCATTACTGACGTGTGTATATCGAGCTATCACACCCCATATATACCTATACATCAGTTAGAAAGTAGAAGGTATGGGGGGAAAATTAACCAGAATAATCTGGTCGAAGATATTACAGTGCAGACATAAAAACGGGAAGGAAGGAAAGAAGAAATAAATATAGAAACAAGATATAGAAGTCAAGATAAAACAAAGGTGTGAGTGTATCTGGACAATTTCCTCTGTAGTCACACTACTACAAAGACACTGACCAAAAGTCAGGGATTTCATGGATTTGGTAGTGGGAGAGCGTTTTGATCTTTTTAAGATTTTACTTCTACCGATGCGGCACACTAAGGAATACGTATTCACAGTATTCTCGAAAGATGAAGTTTCATAATAGGCCTGCGGTAAAAGTTTGGGTGAAATATTTATACTTGTATATTAAGAGCGATAAGTCTTAGAATTAAGAAGCATTGAGTAGAATGTTTGTTGAAGATACACACTTATACGGTAAACTGATTTGTCACTGACATTGTTAACTGTGGAGACGGTCAAAAGGTGAGTGACAATGAGAAAGATAACACGTGATTCTGTGCACTTAATGCAGAAAACAACTGACAATATGATCCTTCTACATACAACATAAGTGTTTCATAATAGAAAAGATTTGTAGCTCAGGTGGATGATTTGCAATTAACAGTGTTCGCTGAGCTGGTTGGTTTAGTTACGGAGCTTTCGGCGTCCCCCCTGTTGGACAACATCTTCAGCGCAATATTTAGCATAAAGTGAAATGATTTAAATTTCTTCATGAGTGATAGAATTGCGTCTCCCGGTAATCATCTTTACATATGTATTGACCATTTTCTATTGACTTGGATTTTAAACTTTCTGGTCACCTGATTTACTTTTTATTAGTTGGTATATTTCGCCTATATTAACGTGTTTGTCAATTGCATTTTCGTTTGAGTACCAGGCTTCTAGGAATTCCCTGACTGCACTTTTGGTGTTTCTTCTGTCTAAAATTTTGACATTATCCCAATCAAAATGATGGCCATAATTGTCTATATGCATTGATACTAAAGAATACATATCGTGTCTTTTCACGGCTGATTTGTGTTCTTGGATTCTGATTCGAAGGGGATGCCCGCTTTGGCCGATGTAATGCTTGTTGCAGTTCATACAATTTATGGTTACCAGGAGAGGCAATTATATCACTCATGAAGAAATTTAAATCATTTCACTTTATGCTAAATATTGCGCTGAAGATGTTGTCCAGAAGGACGACGAAAGCTCCGCAACTAAACCAACCAGCTCAGAGAACACTATTAATTGCATAAGTGTTTCATTACAGGTTCGATCATGACCTGACATCAATGCGGGAACCATTGGGAAACTAGGTAATATTGGACAGTTGTTTCGTCCTTGTTTGGGGCTCTTCAGTTTTACACACTCATCGGGGTTGGAAGCAACTGAGCTACATTTATCGCGAATTGGAAGAAGTTGGAATTCACGGGCCACTGGATCGAGTCCCAGTGGCTCATTGGTCTACGAGCTTGCCTTTGTAACTGAAAAGTCTAAACTAGAACGAGACAGCTCTCCAGTACTCCATGGTTTTTCAATACTTTTGTAACTGATGTCAGCTCATGATTAAACACCTGTGACCACCTACCAATCATCATATCCCTACAAACCGACACACTTGATAATACGTGAGATTCAGTTAACAGACATCAATCATGAAGAGAAATATTGATCACATCGACACAAGTATGCATAACAACGATGCAGTAAAAAATGGATTCCTATCAGGCAAATCATGTGCTGATCAAATTGCAACTCTACGCATCATTATCATCATAGAATAAAGCATAGATTGGCAGTCAAGCATCTCTCTCTACCTTAACCACATCGACTTCGAAAATGTCCTCACCAGACAGTTTCGATCGAGTAATTTGCAAACTACTTAAACACGGGAGGGCGTGCAGTGCCCAAATGTTTATCAACCACATTCAACAGCTGGCTGCTATATGACAATGCCACGTGTCATGTGACCCACAACGGAAAACTCAGCTGGACGTTCGAAGTGAATACAGGAGTAAAACAGGGCTGCTTACAATGTCAACAATGATATTCCTAACTGTGGTGGTGGACTGGATTATGCATCAGAATGTCGGGAACGAGGAGACATGAATATGCTGCACCACCGCGATAAGAAGACTCTAGAAGATCTGGATTTCGTGCATGGATGATTTATGTCTAGTGTCATGCGAACTCGAAGACTAACAGGCGAAAATCAACAAACTGGCTGAAGAAGTGAGCAGCGAATACAGGACTGCAGGTGAACATAGAGAAGATGGAGGTGATGAAAACAACAGACCGACCGAACGACCAACCAACCAACAGCAACAACAACAACCAGCACCAATCACCATCAACGGGAGAGATTTAACAGAGGTAACCTTTACTTGTCTAAGGAGCATAGCGTCAACTGAAGGCGGAACGAAAGATGTCAAAGCCAGATATGTCTTCAAAAACCTGAAACCAGATTGAGAATCTTTGACACTGACCCTGCATAAAGAACAAGATCGGGATTTTCGACACAAATGTTAAGTCAATCAGTTCTTCTACATGGATCAGACACTTGGCCAGTGTGTCACGAAAAGCATTTCCAACAAGTTACATACTTTTATTAATAACTGCCCCCTTCGCTGGCCCCATAATTAAAATCAAATGGCCAGCCGGCCAGAAAGAATCAGTGACAAGAAACTCTGGCAACAAACCAACCAAGAGCCGATAGCTCAACAAATATGTAGGCGAAAATGGAGATGGGTGGGACATACATTGAGGAGACGGTCGAATGATATCGCGTGCAATGCAGGTCATCGCTCGAGTGGAATCCCACTGGGAAGTAACGAGTGGGTCGTCCTAGGGTGACATAGAGGGGATTGTGCGAGTTAGAAGAGGAGATGAGAGATTACGGGCAAACTTGAGGACGGCAGGAAATAGAACAAAGCGAAGACGGGTTTTTGAAGCCCTATGTTCCACACGGAACCCAAGGGAATAATGACAATAATAATAATGATCATTAAATAGATAGAATAATGCAATCACAATTTAAGTTAGAAATGACGAGGGTAATTTTAGGAGAATATACACTTTTAACTTACTTGTAAGAAACTAGTAGCACTGTTTACAAATCTTTGCCGTGTATATGTAGCCCGAAATGTATCATTATCGTAATAGGCCAGTAGACATTCTTTCCGACGTATTTGACCTAAATGTAATAATAGAAAAAAGAAATAACAATGATCACTTTTATGAGACGCGATATTATCCTGCTAGACTTGTTCTTTTTTTGTTTTGTTCAAGTTTCTCAATGAGTGACTACATTTCAGTGTAGAACTTTGTACAAAACTACGGCAGTTCTAATTGCCATACTTAATAGGTGCAGAGAAAAAACGTGAAAGGATTAAAATGAATGGGGATGTACTGGAGGAAAATGAATGAGGATTTGATGAATTTAGGAGGTTATCGATAGTGAAATCATATGTATCACTGAGCACAACTTTGAATTACATCACCAACAGTTTCTAGTCATTAGTTCTTATAGCTTCGAGGTTCCAAGACACAGGCTGGCTGGATTCAACATAGAACTTGCCACCGAAGTGCACCAGTTCGAGTTGCCACGTTCCAAATACCACACAAACGTAGACAAGAAAATGAGTGAAGAGAATCAATAGTTTTGACAAGTATAAGAGTGAAACAGAATGAGTAATGGTAGAAAGGAATATGAAAGATTACAGACACTGAATACATCTGCGTAAGCCATTGACAACGATTTTGGGCCATGTCACCTAATGCCTCCAGCCTTCATTGATTCTTAGAGTCCCGAGGGAGGGACCCAACCCGGAAGTCTGCATCTCCCTCCCTACCTGACTCAGTTTAACTGTCAAGGATTTCATGGATTGATGAGGCCATGTTTTTGTTTGGCCACCACTTACTCTTTTTCAACCCACAACACCTATATCAGCTAGTAATGACCGTCGGGGGAAGGCGATGGCTAGACATGCGCAGCACGTGACCTAGCCATCTCAATCTATGTAACTTTATAGCCTCTTCGATTGATTTTCCCTCTTTGCCCAACACTCGACGCCTAACGTCAACATTACTTACCTTATTATACCACATAACGTGAGAAAGAGATCGTAAACACCTATGATCAAAAACAGTCAACCTTTTCATGTCTTCAACTCGTATTGGCCATGTTTCAGAGCCATGGAGAAGGACGGAGCGAACTGCTGAGCAGTACACACGTCCCTTGGTTGATAGTCGGATGTCACGCCTACGCCAGAGATGGTGTAAGTTAGCGAAAGCCGCCCGAGCTTTTTGGATCCGTGCTGAGATTTCGTCACCAATCAATCCGTTGGTGCTGATACAACTTCCCAAATAGGTGAAGTGGTCAACATGTTCTATCACTTCACTCCCTATCACTAAGCTAGAAGTTGACGTAGTCTAAACCTACCCTACATGGCTTACACACCAGCAATCAAATATCATGCATCGATACAAGATTTTGATTTGACTACCGGTAACACTTTTGAACTCAATACTGTTTCATTGGACACTGTTCATCAGGGAATACAGTAACTTTGCATGCATAATATGTGTTCTAGCCACCTGTCAATTGGTACAGCTTCACAACCCCATCGATTGATTATCCCTCCTTGGCTAACACTCTACGTCTAATTGCAATGTCACTCACTCAATCACTCACTCACATATTACACCAGTTAACACGGGGCATAAGACGCAAACAAACACAGTAAAAGACACAACCATTTCAGTGACTAAAGAAGGATGAAGTGAACTGCCATGGAGTACACTCGTACTTTGATCGATAGCCCATCGGATATCATGTCTGCGCCAGAAAGAATGTAAGCTGGTACACATCACATGTGCCTTTTGTATCCACTCTGAGATTTCATCAGCAATCTGTCCATAGGAGCTGATTCGATTTCCCAAATAAGTGAAATTTTCAACACACTCCACCACTTCCCTCTCCCCTTTACCTTTAAACTGGCAGTCGGCGTAGACCAGTCCTGCAGCATTATATTGCATATAACAGAGGAGAAACACAAAAACTAAAAAAAATTCCAAGATTTCTTCAACAAGGTGTTCAGAAGACTCTGTTTTTTGTCAGCATCTTCACCTAGGACTATGTTAACCGTATACTGTAAATTGACGAAACTATCTCCAGGTAACAGGTTAATCCTTAAATCGCTGATTTCGACTGAAGTTTCATCTGTCAGTTCACATATGATGAAGTCAAACAAAAATGGAAACGCGGCAGATACCCCTTGACTGTCACCATTTCAGAGAGCAACTCTCCATAAGTTTTCACACGGCTACGAGTTCAAGTGAAGTGCTTTGATTAGCGTGTTATACACTTTCTCGATAAACTCTTCATGGCCATTCTCAATGGGAAGAATTGTATAAAATAACAGTTCTACAGGACAAAAAGCTGTCTGATTTCCCACAAACTGGAAGACATGCAAGCGAAAAGCAACAAGTTAGCAGAAGAAGCACCAAAGATAGGACTTCAGGTGAACATAGATAAAAGAGAGCTGATAAAGATTCCTGGGCAACACCACCAACAGCAACAGCAACAACAACAGACAACAATCAGCATAAATGGGAGGAACCTGAAAGAAACAACCTACTTTACCTACCCTGCCTAGGAAGCATCGTTTCAACTACAGACGGAACTGACGAGGATATCAAAGCAAGAATCGGAAAAGCAAGACAAGCTTTCACTACTCTCAAGTCTGTGTGGAGGTCAACAGCACTCAGCATCAAAATAAGATCCGGATTTTCAACTCCAATGTGAAGTCAGTGTTACTATACGGATCAGAGACTTGCACTGAGCGTCATAAAGAGCACTTCAAACAAACTACAAACCTTCATTAACAGTTGTCTTCGCTCAATACTCAAGATCAGATGGCCAGAAAAGATCAGCAACAGGGATCTCTAGGAGCGAACCAACCAGGAACCGATTGTGAAACAAATAGGCAGGAAGAAATGGAGATGGATTGGCCATACTCTTAGGAAACCATCAAATGACATCACTAGACAAGCCATTGCTCGGGTGGAACCCGAAAGGGAAGCGGCGAGTTGGTCGTCAGTGCAAGGGTGACTTGGAGGAGGTCATGTGAAGAGGAGATGAAAAAGTGTGGGCAGACATGGAGCCAGGTGAAGACTCTAGCAGAGAACAGAACGCAATGGAGACGCACGGCTGAAGCCTTATGTTCCTGTAGGAATTAAAGGATATAATAATAATAATAATAATAATAATAATAATAATAATAATAATAATAAATACTGGTGACGTTGGCAAGCATTGAAAGTACTTTTACAAAAGTAAAATCTGACATTACCCCATTCTCTGTAAAGATTTTGACCTCTCTGTCCACGATCAGCTTCCAATGTATTGCTAAGCACCTTTTCAATCGGTTGGTATAATTTCAAGATTCGTTTAACTTCTTCAGCAAATTTAGCCCGTCTTTGAACACAATTCTCCCATGCAGATCGAAGTTCTGCATCTAATTCATCATCAGCAAGTTTTTGTTTTAAGAAACTTTGCCACCATTTCTCAACAGAATCATCTGACTCAGCAGTGCCGACTCCTTCAGTCTCCATAGTTAATTCTAAGGTCTTTGAGATAAGCGAATAGTAAGCTTGAACAATGCGTTATGAGCTGAAAATTTAACCATACAGATAGGTATAACAAAGTGAAGCATTAAAGAATACTAAAAGTAACTATAGTTTTGTATATTGTATACATTTGAGTGGTAATCAGTAAGGGAAATACGTTACCTGCTGCAATATTCTTATCTACTTAACATTTTTAGTAGATGTCTATGTATCAAAACATTTATCAGCACGAAAAAGTGTTTGTATAAATATAATAAGGACAACATTTTGGACATTATGTTACACCTGGTAGATTTCATGGCTATTAGAATGAATGCGAATATATAAGGGATACTTCCATTATGGGTAAATTTTGTTTTGATAGTCTTACCGTGTTATACAGTAATGTTTACTGATGACGTTTCGAGCACAATTTATTACTGCTCATAATCATATCAAGGTAAAAAAGAATGAACTGCAGACCCTGAACTCACTTATAGGACGAAGCTGCCCATTGAAGAAATTATTTTAGGAATTCAGTTGTGCCTCACATCTACACACACATCAACTGAAGGTGCAGCAATGGGATCACCAATATCCCCTATCGTAGCAGATATATTTATATATAGCTGGGGAAATATGGCTCTTAATATGTTTAATCCTACTCCAAAAATATGGTGGAGATATGTGGATGACACTTTCACACACAGTGTTAAAAACAGAACATATCTTTAGCTTCTTGACACACATAAACTCACTAGTCGAGGGAATAAAATTCACATTTGAAGCCGAAAATGAACAAGGAGAATTAGCTATGAGGTTAGATTGTAAAATAAAACGAATAGAAGAAGGCAAACTACACACTAGTGTTTATAGAAAACCAACGCATTCTAATAGGTATTTAGACTTCAGTTCATCTCATCCTTTAACTGTAAAGGCAGGCTTAGTTAAGTGTTTAACAAAATGAGCAATGGCACTAAGTAGCACAAAAAAGACCTAAATGATGAAATGAAACAGATAGAAGAAGCGTTGGTGTTGAATAACTATCCTATAAAATTCATTTGGAAGATTGAAAAAGGCCAAAAGAAAAAGAAAAAGAATTGTGAAACTAGTAATGATAACACAAATAAGAGAGAATACAAGTCATCTACAGTTATACCATATAAAGAGGGGACATCCGAGACCCTACGTAGGATTCTAAATAAAGCAGGAATTAGGGTGGCATTTAAACCTACAAACTCACTCAGGGACAAGCTCTGTAGGTTAAAGGACCCAGTGGACCCAATTAGACAAAATAATATAATTTACAAAATACCCTGCAATGACTGTGAGGTCAACTACATAGGTCAAACTAGTAGGTCAGGGGTAGTCAGATTGTCAGAACATAAGAATTTAGCTAAGGTAAGAATGGTTTACCCCATCCGAGAAGATAAGTAATTTAGAAAAAAACTCAGCAATTGCAATGCATGCATTAACACACAACCACACAATAGGGTGGGAGAGGGTTAAAATTCTGAAAAGTAATCTAGGTAAGTGGACAGAGAGGTTGATTACTGAATCCTTGTTCATCGAATCTACACCCAACACGTGCAATAGGAATGATTCATCACTCGTACCCGAAATATGGAAAATACTACTACCAATCAAATCAAGTGAAAAACAACGGAACTATATAAATGAATTTAGGAATTCGTGTGATTACCCTGATATGATTATGAGCAGTAATAAATTGTGCTCGAAACGTCATCAGTAAACATTACTGTGTAACACTGTGAGACTTAATCAAAACAAAATTTACCCATAATGGAATTACACTCTACCACAGTCCACAAGTTTTATTCTTATATCAATGATATATAAGGGATAATCTTTGAGTAAATATCCTGTGGTTATAGCCTTGCTATACCTGTGTGTTTTTTTCTTCAAACAGATGAGTCAAGTCCATTTCTGTGTAGAGTATCTTACAAATAAAATAAATTATTACTACTTATTTGATGTGCATACATGGAATTGAAAGAATGTTATGGACAATTAAACTGTCCGAACAAAAGACAACAAAATATGATGACAATTTTTTATGCCATAAACGTTGTCCATTTTCCTTAAATATTCCTCACTGTTTGGTGTTCCACCAAGTTGAAACATTTCACTAGGCATAGAAGAAGGGTTCGGAAGTCGAGGAGCTATATTGCTGTGAAGTAGTAGTTCTTCTCCCACTGACTCATACACTCATAGAATCGAATCCAAGAAGTGGTATCTATGCCTTCGATTGGAGAGGTCAAAAACTGATTAGACAACCACAGATACTTGTTAGAAAAGAATTAACACAGGCTTACAGCCTTATATCCTCAAACAAAAACCTGCTAATAGTATTGATAGTTACAGATATGGTTTACATTTCCTCTATTAGAAGTTTCTTTCTTTCTCTGAACGATAAGAAGCATTTTTTTCTGTCTACAAGATGAAATACAACACCTTAACTACACACTTTTCTTTACCTTCACGTTCCCCACTGGAACATAGGGCTTCAAGCTAGTGGCTTGAAGTTTCTGTAGCAGTGTTTATTTTACAGTATGGGGTTGCTAGCCAATCTCACGCCCAACCTTTCTTTTTCACCAGCATTATTTCTGGCTTAGCGAGGTAAAGGAGTGCGTCTGTGGCCGGGGATCAAACCCCGGACCATGTGAATGGTCGGCGAGCGTCCTAACCGCTATGCCACCGACGCTCTTAACTACACACATTTCATGATAATTAAGACATAAATAGCGACAAAAAAGCCTTTAAGTATGACTACACTGAGTAAGAAATTAACTAACTCTTTGAAAACTCATCATTCGGCCTTAAGAACACAATCATTTTTGTCATTTGTACATTTGTAGACGTGGTAATTTTGGGCTGTAGGTCCGAATCCTGACTAAACTAATTTAGCCTTGACGAGTAGGCAGCATTGCTATAAATGATTCGTTTCTTTTTTCAATTCATTGAGTTTCGACGATTTCAAGATTGAGCTTTGCAGTTTCAGTAGCAGTGGCATCTTTTTTACAGAGTGAATTTGCCAGCTCTATGCCTAACCTTTTCTATTTACCTGGCTTAATATCGGGCTGGACGAGGTTTTAGGAGTGAATGGCTAGTAAAAATTTCTTTGTTCTGGGGTTTTTTCTGACTGTCATCTGTGAGACTGTATTGTACTACTGATTGTGGGTGAATATGAGGAATGCTTATAGCGACCATATATATATATATATATATGGACTACTTATGATAAAAAGATCCATACGAGTTCACTGAAAGACAACAGTGCTAATTAGTCTGTGTAAACAACAGTAACTGTGGAGGCGGGTGCAATCCGTCTATAAAATGCGATAACTATCTTCATGCAAATTAAGCACCATTATTACTCTTGTAAAAATGTTTGCATTTCACCACAGCAACTGCCAAGCGTCGGTGGCATAGCGGTTAGGACGCTCGCCGACCATTCACATGGTCCGGGATTTGATCCCCGGCCAATGCACTCTTTTACCTCGCTAAGCCAGAAATAATGCTGGTGAAGAGGAAAGGTTGGGCATGAGATTGGCTAGCAACCCCATCCTGTAAAATAAACACTGCTACAGAAACTTCAAGCCACTAGCTTGAAGCCCTATGTTCCACTGGGGAGCGTGAAGAATAAAAAAACACCAACTGCCACTGCTCGCATGATTTAATAAGCACGAAAACTATCATACTTTTCAATCTCTAACTAAATACTCTCGTGATTAGTTTATTCAGAATGACAAAGAACTAAAAGATTGAGGATTTTGAGGCCTACAAACTCTAAAGCGATTTCGCAACATTCAAAAGCAATCATCTACCCAGCCTCTTAAATCCACCCCCCCCCCAATGGTGCTAGATGAAGCAGTGGTTCTCAAACTGCTGTCTAAACTGAAGCCAGGTAAATCACCAGAGCTTGACAGACTCCACCTTAGACTTTTAGTTTCCTTAGTTGATATATTATACATACCACTTATGGAGATACTTAGAATGTCTCTGACTCAGGCTAGGCTACCCAGGGACAGGAAGGATATAATTATAAGCCGAATTTTGAAAAAGGGAAACAGGCAATTTGTATCTAACTACCAGCCCGTAAGTCTAACATGGATTGTAGCAAAGGTATTAGAAACAATTTTAAGAGATCAGCTATTAGCTCACTTGGAGAAACATGGCCTACTGGCGGAGAAACAGCATGGATTTCGATCAGGATGATCCTACTTAAGAAACTTACTGTTAGCTAGGGAGGATTGGATAGAAGCCAGAGATAGAAGCCTACCGTTGGACGTTGGTTTTATAGATCTTAGTAAGGTATTCAACTAAGTGTCCTATTTAGGTCCTTTCAGTAAACTAGAGGATTTTAGATTAGACCAATGCCTATGAGAGTGGTTTAGAGACTGCCTACTGCATAGAAGGCAAAAACTAAGGGTTAATGGTGTACTGTCACGATGGAAAGCAGTACTAAGTTGAGTAGCTCACAGAACTGTACTAGGCTCCCTGCTATACCTATTATACATAAATGAACTACCGAAAAATTCTTACCTATTCGTTATTATCTGCGGACGCTATTAAAATCTGGGAAACCGTAAATAATAATGACGGGTCGGTATTACAAAGTGATCTAGATAAGCAAGCTGAATGGCCGAACCTCTGGAGTTTGGAAATTAATTCCAGGAAAAGCGTGATGATGCACTTAGATCAGAGGTCTTACACGTCGTATTCCCTGGGGGACACAAAACTGCCTATTGTTAACGGACTTTTAGCCATGATTTTACAACAACTGTGTCACAATACAGCTACAGCTAAGGCTTTTCGATTGGTGTAGGCAATCCGAAGGGCTTTCAAACAATTAGATGAGTCTGTGTTCAAAGTAATCTACGCAACATGTGTCAGGCTTTATCTAGAATACTGCATACAAACAGCTAATCCATGCTTCAAGAATGAGGGACGTATTTTGGAAGGAGTAAAAGGGATAAGAACCTAATCACCTTCCTTACGAGAGGAGGATAAAATATTTAAATCTCTTCCTAATATCATACCGAAGAAATTTTGGAGTACCGTATTTAAAGGCTGTTTCGGGGACTGACCTTTCTAACTTCTTCTCTGCACGTCACCACAGAGAGGGTGCTCAAACAGCGGACGAATAAAATGTGTGAAATTTAGATTCTCACATAGTGATCAGCGGCTGGAACTCCTTATCCGATCAAACAGCTTCAACTCCATCAGTGAGCGCTTTCAAAGAGAAATGAGATCTTTGCGAAGATATATATTGCAAGAATTAACACCGGTCACATGTGCCCACTTTCCTTCATTATCTGAATCTTGTCACAACTACAAATAGTGTAGCAACTTTCACTTTTGAAAAACATCTACGCGACAAAACGATAGTCTTTTTGAAAGAAACATCCTTTGTTGGTCTGTCTCTTGGTTTTTTATCCACTATCATAAGGCTGATTTTAAAATATTTAAAACTCTTGCTACTTTAGTTTTAACACGAAAAAATTTTGAACACGCCGATTGTGGCAAAATGAGCAAATAAATGGAAAATAAGTCACTTTGATTGAGAATTGATCAGTAGAATCAACTAGCAAACTAGTCGTTAAAAAGTGATAACAATGGAAGACCAAAGTCTTGAAATTTAAAAAGTTCACGTAACAATTACATGCATCCAGCCTATTGATTCACTTATAGGTTTCCAGGCCGTAGGTGTTACGAACTTCCTGGAATAATTCACTTGCATGAAATAATGCTTTAAGTGCTGAAATAAAACTGAAAAATTGCCACTATACGCTGAATTAAGTCTTCGTTCTGAAGTACTGCTAGTCAGTGCTTAATATGGCCTGTAAGGGCTCGAACAACGCTGATAAACAAACCCAGTAGGTTCTGATCTACTCCTGAATATGCCTAGAAAAATAACAGGATGCTGAATTAGTGCCATTCATGCTGAAAACCAGCACTGAGTTCTAATCTGTGCGCTTAAACAAAGCATTTCAGAACAGATTCAGAATTTACCCACGATAGAATGTTAGAGTTAGTTCAGAATTAGCAAGATTTAATTCAGCATTAAAGTACTGTGCAGTAATCACAAATTACAAGTAGGCCCTAGTATGATTTTGTAACCTCGATAAGGAACTCTTAAAACTTATCGTTATTTGTGTTTCTCTTCACCTAAATAGATATATATGTATATATAGGTGAAGATTCAACTTTAATGGTGCCATGTAAGAAAAATACTTGAGCACTATGGCAGAATATTATTCCATATTTGATGAGTTTACTTGATATAACACACTGCTATTAATAAAACCTTAGTCAACTGTGTTATAACAGATTATTTGATATAAATATCAAATAAACTTATCTAATATGGCATCCATGACTCTATTTACAAATAAAAACGAGTGATTCAAGCAATCGCTTGTTAATCCTAGGAAATATGAGTAGATTAAACTGTAAACCAACAAGTGAATCTCGAGAAAACGATTACATATCAATGAGGCGTGTCAAACTTGAAAATACCAGATAGGCCTTCAAGGTCATGCGTTCAAGATCTGACCCCTTTTCTAATAGCCGATATTAGGCCTAAGTGGTTTACAAACTGTTCTTCGGAAGATTTCTTCAAAATCTGGTAGTATTATTTTAAGTCTCCTTTTTATCGATGGTCTACTGTATTTATGTTAAGAGCTTAACACAGTAAGAGGTCGGTTAAGAGCAAAGGGAATTTCGTAGTGGATGTTAGGATTTCAGCACTACCATGGCCAGCCTTAGGACATTCCCCAGCCAGGTATCCGCTCAAAAGAAATGAAATTATGCCAAAAATAAGAAAAATTGGAAAATAATTAAATTATTGGGAGTGGAAAGCGAAAAATTGCATGGGTGATAAGCTTAATAGTGGCAAGAAAGTTAACAGACAGTCAGTTAAACACATGAACGCAAATGTAGGAGATAAGTGATGTGGAGACTTTATTTGGAATTCGTTATGTAGACAGTTTGCTGAGCAAATTCAATATACTGCTGCGTGATGAACTTGTCAACGATTAATTCTTCTGACCTACTGAGCGGTGGCTACGGTTGCCGACTTAGCATTCAAGGAGTGGCAGACTCGAAACTAATAGGAACCATTGTTTTCATTCCACCCACTGGATTAAAGGTCCTTCGTGCATTGCCTCGCAAAACTTCAGAACGGACTCATTTATGCATCATTTTGTTTGGATGATACCGGTTGTGTAAAGCCCCGTTGATTGTGATTATTACACACCTAAAACACACCTTTATCCAACTCCTGCGGTCTCTCCCACACTTCATCTGAATTCTTTGTCACCCAGCTTGGTACTTTTCCAGTGATGTCGTCAATTTTGAAAGGTGGTCGAGTTGTGGACCTCATTGTTGGATACCAGTTAAGCTTTACTACTACTTGAAAATAAACAATTTGTGAGTGCTTCCAGATGTCTAAGAATGAGGTTCGGTAAACATTCCGGTCCCATCCCCAATGGGTATTGAGATTATTTTTTGGGGTGAGATTATAGTGGCCATCACAGCGTCACCCCACGATCTAATTATCTCTACTGTTGGCATTGAAACAGTATGATATGCGTTTGAGATTTGACGAAACAGGGGCGTATTGGCTCCATTGTGTTAAGTTGGTGTATCATTATAAATTCTCACCATGTCCACTATCCAAATGCCTACTTTCACTACGTAAAAGTAGAAGGGGCAGTCGGGCCTCGAAGTCAGGGTATGCATGGCTAAGCAGTCGTGTATTTGTGAGGTTAAGTCATGGATTTACTCGGAGAAGTGGGCATGAAACGGTAACCAGCTTTATCTTAGTCTGAGATGGATGACATATATAGCCGGTTTCTTAAATCCCTTCATCTACATTATTGGGGTAGTTTCACCCCAAAGATGTAAGAAATTTCATCGGCAGTCCTTTTAACAACAAAATACATCAGTTTTCTCACAACAGAGTGCCTATGAAATCAGAAATTTTGTAATCACTGACATCTTACTTAATACAGGGGAAATCGTCAGTGAGTAAGGCGGTTCGGAGATAGTTCCTCTGGGGCTCACTGTTCACCTGGACGCGTGCCCACTTTAAAACCCTGCTACCTAAAACCAATCGGCAGTGTGCTTTTTTGACAGGGTAGACTGTAAACTCTTCAAAATTTATATGGAGGTTCTCGAAATTGTGCAACAAATAAGCAGGAATAAATGTAGGTGGACTGACCATACTCTGAGAAAACCGTCGAGTGACACCACAAGATAAGCCCTCAAGTGAAACCCGAACGGGAAGCGACGGGTTGGTCGTCCACAGATGACGTGGAGGAGATCATGTGAAGAGGAGATAAAAGCATGTGGGTAGACGTGAAGCCAGGTGAAAACGCTGGCAGAGAACCGGACGCAATGGAGACGTTCGGCTGAAGCCCTACTTTCCTCTAGGAACTAAAGGAAGCAATGACAATCTCGAAATTAAAGTGTGGGAGGTTGATCACACCTCTTCTGACCTGTTACAAAGTACTAATATTCTTACAAAAACATGACTGTGGTTTGATGTTAGTGACAAGGACATGGTGATGGATGGCATTGGTAGGTGATGCAGAGCCGATTCCCTACACTTGCACTAAAACTACTCATCAATGCACTTGTCACAAAACACCCTCATTAGAATGTGTTGACAGACTGAAAATTAACAATTTCTTCAGGCTAATAAAATTTCCCGCGTAGTGTGACTAGGGGCACATAATTCAGCGGAGACATCCTCTTTCGTAGCCCCACTTCAAAGATCCACAGTTGTTTAGGGAAGTTATATATACAACATTAAGTGGCGGCAGAGGTCAGAGGTTCTTGTCAGCTATTAGTTAAATAAATAAATAAATTTCTCATAGTACAGTACATGAGGGACGCCAGTTTACAGGCATCATCAAATTGTTGCAGGAATGGAACCATATAATTTAACCACAATTTACAGGCAGTAGCAAGATAAATGGTAAATGTTAATCCAAGTAGCATAAAACAGCCTTTTCACTTATATACAATCATTTCTGTGCACAGTTGGAAAAATCTGCTAGATTGTCAGTGATTGCAACACATCAGGAAATGCAGAAGTACTGTCTTCGCATTAACAAGAAACAGGTCTTTGGTGAATGGATTATAAGTGCCTGGGAAAAAAATAAAGCTTGAAGTCAATCTTCATACATAACTTTGTTGTGTGCAGAATCCTTGAATTATAGTTCATTGATGTGTTATTTTGAAATCAGTGATATGTTTATCTCATTTGATCTGCAATGTCATTGTTGGGAGTAAATACATAAGCTTCAGACGCATTAATTAATGGATTTCTACTGCTTGTGGGTAATTTCTTAGAGTGAGGAAGGTTTATGAATTTCAGCTGTTCTGACGAGAGTTGAGAATATCAGCTTTTGAGTAACAACAGTGTTTGAAATAATATGATCAGTCATACGTAATCAAGAAGGTTGACAACTAATAGGTCAAGTGAAAAATGATCACTTGGAAATAATTGGCAGGAAGCAAGAGAACCAAGGGATGAAAATTGACTATAAAAGTAAATCTGAGAAATAGCAGATGAAAGTGAAAATGAGAAGAACTACATCGAATTTACTTTAACACAATAAGGGAAAACAAGAACTAACTCAAAGGCCATGATAGAAAAAGAGGCTGGGTAAGATGTGTCTGAACACAAAGTTAGGATTTTTCCTGTAGACTTCTGAGGTCTCAGCGGAATGAAGATGTGAACGAAATCCTTTTGAACTGCTTTATTGTGATTCATGTATGACTCCGAATAAAGTCTGTGATGTTTCTGTGTGACCAGAAGCAACAGTGTGCTCCAGAATCGGTATGTTGTTTGTTCCGCAGTACCCTTTTTACAATCATGCTGGCAAGCTTTCATGAGCGTGTCTAGACAATGCCCTGCTAGAACGGCCTATGTACTAATCTCCATAGGAGCAAGCGAATCGGTAAATGAGCGTTGAAGTTTTTAACATCAGGATCTACCCTCTCGTATTTCGGTGGACAAGAGCATGTGTAGAGATGAGGCATGGTGTCATTATTAAAATTGACCAAATTGCCACAAGTTCCATAATTCAAATATTAATCCCTAGCTCTCTCGAAGCTAGTAGATAAATCTCTTAAAGTTATAATGAGGAGTTGAATCCACGTGGGTCTTCCATGTCAAAGTGAATTTGGCGGTCATTGAAGGTGTTGGCTGCTGATAGCACCGTAAAACAAATCGGTTGGAGGGTGCTATCATGAGCTGACGTGGGTTAGAGAACCACCATGAAACCTGGAAGTACTAGACAGCTGTTTTGTCCTAGCTTGGGACCCTTCAGTAGTACGCACAGACCGGGGTTCGAACCCAGGACCTTCTGGTTACAAGGCTAACGATGTCGTGGACCATTAAGCCGCTGGGACCCGAATTGGCGAATTACGAAGTCAAGGGGCACTTTCAAGACTTCAGTTTCCATGGAAGAGCTGGTATTCTCGACCTGTTTTTTGTCCAGTGGTATTATGGATGAGTTGTAGGAGGTGGTCAATTCAGGAACCATTTGAAATGATTCGCCCAGAGTTCCCTCTCTCTGTTCCCATGATAATTGGGTTTCTTTCATTGCCTGTCCCTGACTTCATCAACAACCACGCCGCCTAACACA